ATGCGACGCGCCCTTATGGCGTCATCCAATTCGACGAACCATCTCAAGAGGGAGTCCTCTTCGACTCCCCTATACTTGGAGATGTCAATCTTCAAGGTCTCGGGTCGACGCGAGTACATCAACCCACCAGCAGCAGCCTCTTGCTGTCTCAACAGTTCAAACTGTTGAACACCCTGTTCTCTTAACAACTCTGCTTGTTGAGAACCTTGTTGGTGAAGCAAGGCTACTTTCTCGCGTTCTGCGTCAAGTTCATTTTGAATGAACTTGGCGATAGTAGCATGTTGGGCATCTCTATTGAGAGCCTCTAGCATGACGCTAACAGCATGGATGCCCATGGTCGAACCCATTCGTTCAACCGCATCCCATTCGACATCGCTCAAATGGGAGTAGCCGTCACGCGTAGCGTGAAAGCTTTGGTCATCTTCAACATCCAACATATTCATGTCAGGTGTGAAAGTGGTCCTTGGACGGACTACGAAGTGCTACCAGGTGTAACGGGGCACCCTGAAGCTTGTACTATTGTACTGATAACAGTACAAGCTACTTATTCTGATGACAGAATGAGGCGGTTCCTCGGAATTTCACGTACACTGGTGCGTGCAGAGGAAGATGGCTAGGAGCAGCGAGTACTTGCTTAAAGTAAAAAGTAGAACTGTATTTATAATAGTTAATGTCTGCAATAAATCACTATTTATCTTCATCTAACTATGTCTAAATACAAATGTGTAAATCAACTATCTGCTCACCACTCATTGCGTGCGTCTGTCGTGGCGCGTCTTCGTTGGTTGATATAATGGCCTATATCAACCAATTAGGAACTACTCGTAAGTGCTGCAGAATATTTGTCCATATGACAATATTCTGAGAATATAACTCTTATAGTTATATTCTATTAACAATTTCTTCTAATTAGTTATGTAACGGTTCACCCCGTTACAATTATCGTTTGGGCACCAGTTTCCTTCCTCCGCAAGGGCGATAAGTAAAGACGCCAAATATGCGCCGCGGGTTACTGCTCTCCCAAAACAACCGCAGCACTCACAAAGTACGCTGAGGGGGCAGCGCAAGCGAGGAACAGGTCGAGGACCACATTGTAAGTAGCCAAGCTAGCAAGTGAACAAGGAACTGGTATACTAGCGTGTAGCTTCTGCGCTATACTCTTGTCCATTGGTTTTATCAGGTCTGTCTACCGGCCAGGCGTATCTTTTTACTCTTACAAGTCCGTAAAGTGTGACCGTTGAACGCATTCAGTGGTACTTCCGTAAAAATTGCTGCTGCTTTATTTTTCGTCCATCGCGATGTTTGAAAGCACATGTACATGTCCGTTAACGTGGATTGGCACTCGTCTCGTTGACCGTTTCGAAAAAAACTGTTCCATTCGGTTTTCACGCGCTATATATTGGTCCAAACAAAGATAGCGACGTCAAAAAATGTCCTTGAATGTGTGTAAAAAGTAACTTATGTTGTTTGCACGGACCATTGTAGATTTAATTCACAACGCACAGACGTAGTAGAACGATCGATCGATAATTACCGAGCACGGCAGCGTAGCGTCCGTCCGCCCCACGGATGTGTTGCTCGAGCTTCTTTTCAAGCATGTACTGTAACGGGATGAGCCCGTTGCATAAAGTTAATACGAATAAATCAATTTTAAAATATATCCATTTCGATAATTTTCGATATATGATCACTCTCGAAGAGGTGATAAAGGCGGAGTATTACCCCCGAGGGCAATATTTTAGGGTGCTCCACTTTTGGTTGATGTAGTGTCTACGTCAACCAAATTACATACCAATCGCTATTGGACGCGCGCAATTGGTGGTAAGCAAGAAACCCACATAGTGAACTGTTTTTTAACCTAGAGGATCAAGCTAAAGATATTTCTCAAAAGAAACTTAACTGTATTGAATTGGTTCTCGTTTCCCTAAACAGAGCTGCTAGTTCTGTTTACTTTGCTGCGATTCTTCACGCCACGTGTACGTGACGTCAGGAGGACGCAGCCTAGTTATCATTCAACTCAAGGCTTACCAGTCATCTGGTAAGGGTGTGCCCCGTTACATGTTTTGTATCAAGAAATATGGACTCAAAGACGTCGAGTGCGCTTGGCATTATTTGGCGTATTGAAGTCCGTGTATTCTCGGTGTGAAGTAATAGATACTAATAAACATATTTTTAAATGAAGTGTTTTTTTCGATCGATATGATGTGGACGCCAAAGAGCTGCTTTTGCGGCTTAGGTATGATGTTTACGCAGGCTGGATAATACTAGGGCGGGGAATGTAAATAGCTTCTCGTTTTTGATTAGATTAACTCACTTTTTCTTTCGTTAAGTACATCCGTGTCACAATAAGTTGTCGTTAGATTATATCAGTGGCCGAAGTATGCCTATTTTTTCCTTCATATCCTCGCAAGGATAATCAAGGTTATGACTATACGGCATCGCTTGAGGCCCAGAGGCCCCACCAATTGTCATTACCTTTGATATAGCGATGACATGGTAGAATAAGATGACGGCAACGATCTTTGCGTACTATGACCGCCTATTATCACATGTACATGGATAGGTATGTATATGCGGATAGTGATAGTTAATGATTTCTACTAACTTCTTCGTAAAAGTATTCAAAGTCCACAACACTACATCCTAGAGAGCAAACAATTTTATGTATGTTTTAACATGACACGGTGGTCACGCGCAGCTTTGAATGACATTCAGCCGACAAAGATAATACTATGTCTGAATGTTAAAAAGATGAAATGGAATAGAGGAAAGCATGAGAAAAAAGCCGACAGGGGTGGTGGCGATTAAGACGATAAAATCTGTTGATGCACATTTACTGATATAGATGTTACACGACGAAGAAGATGAAGACATTAAAAATCATCGTAAGGCGTAGTATAGGGCTCCTTTTATGATGGTTCGCTATTATCATAAGCACCACGCAATCCTGCACTTTGCTAATTTTTTTCTATCGACACATTTGAGTGTCTATAACGAAGTGCGCCTTTACGTGAAAATGACTTCCGCTCATAATTCAGTCAATTGCGATAAAGGAGCATGCTATGCAGCTGTTGCAAAGCACTACACAACAGCAGCAGTTACTGTAAAATGAGTATGGTGTTGTTAATGTCGGTTTTTACCCAGTACATTATACTCAGATAAAACGATAGGCATTTGCTTATGGACACTCAGCCTTTGCTTATGTGATCGTATTCACCTTTGATCAATATTAAGCCAATCACGTTTGTGCAGCACAATAGTGACCTAGCAAAGGGTGACTTTGAATTTGATTATATCTATGTAAAGGGGACAGGAATGATCGCAATTAGTACGTTTTAACTACGCTCACCGCATTATTTACAGACTCAAAGGTAGATCAGTACGATGTAAAGTTCGGTATTCAACCTTGCGCAATCTGACTAATAGCTGCATCTTCCATGTTCGCAATTACGGTTTTTAATTATTTGATCTTTTTTCAAACCTTCTCAAAAATTGAGAGCTGCTGTGGGATTTACTCCACTCTCAACTAATTTAGGATACGTCTCTAAGACTAGTGGCCAGCGGACGCCAACTGAGAAGATTCATTGCCGAATTCGTCTTCACCTCCGTGTACACAGTCTTAGAAGATCGGCAATTCGCACTAATGTCGTTTAGTCGTTTGTTTTGAGTCGATGCAGTTCATCACACTTTGATGTTATGTTGTCGCAATCATGAACTTAGCCTCCCAAATGCCATTGGTCATCACTCGTGTTTCATCGTTTAAATCTCGGGGCTTGTCGTCTAAAAGAACCTCAAACAGGAAGTCCGCTAGCTGTAAGCGGTTTCCCAAACAGGAAGTCCGCTAGCTGTAAGCGGTTTCCCCTCAGTAGTCCCATTCCGATAAAATCACGAGAGTTAAGGTGTGCTATGGCGCTTTCGCTCTTTTTGTGGTGATAAATCAGATTCTTTTAGTGCGTGCATTCGAAACTTTTGGCATTTAGTGGAGACGCATCAACAGGAGACCAATTCCAGACTGCGCTAGCAGAGCGACCACATTTGGTCATGGCGTCAGACTCCCATCTAAATATTATCATCAACGACAATTAGGAAGTCCACATGGTGACCTACGCTCTCACAACTAAAAATCGAGGACGTCGCCATTGACGTTATTAACATGCTCGTCAACCTGGTTGAAAAAATAGACGATTTGTAGCGGGGCACCCTGAAGCTTGAACTGGTGACAGTACAAGCTACTTATTCTGATGACAGAAAGAGGCGTCACTTCACGTACACTGGTACGTGCAGAGGAAGAAGGTAAGAAGAAGCGAGTACTTGGTTAAAGTAAAAAGTAGAACTGTATTTATAATAGTTAACGTCTGCAATAAATCACTATTTATCTTCATCTAACTATGTCTAAATACAAATGTGTAAATCAACTATCTGCTCACCACTCATTGCGTGCGTCTGTCGTGGCGCGTCTTCGTTGGTTGATATAATGGCCTATATCAACCAATTAGGAACTACTCGTAAGTGCTGCAGAATATTTGTCCTTATGACAATATTATGAGAATATAACTCTTATAGTTATATTCTATTAACAATTTCTTATAAATTGTAATGTAACGATTCACCCCGTTACATCACCCCCCCTTAACCATCAGTCACTTTAGTGACTGATTGACTAAATGGATACTCTTCCCAAATCATTTGGGACGGGGTTTGCACTTTTTGGTCCGAGTCCACAGTCCATCAGTTTCATCGCATGGTAAACAAGTCCATGCGGTGCGCGAACAAGGCCGCTGAGAGCGCGTCTCTGTGCGGACGCCGAAGCAGAAACCGCTGCGGCCGATGTGTCATCGGTTGCTGAAGCGACTCAGCCTGTGTCACTTGGTGATGCAGGCGCTGGTCATGAAGACACTCATGTCTTCACAGAGTATGAGCTCGGTGTCTCATACTCTCCCGATACGGAAGAGGGATCCGTATCGACGGCGGTTGAAATCAAGCCGCCTGCCAAGCGTGGCATGGATGATGCTATGCGTCGTAGCATCTTTGGTTCGTCTGACGAATCAGATGAACCATCGCCAAAGCGAAGGCGTTCGAGGTCGCGAGACTCGGGCGCTCACAGTGGTGTCGGTTCTCCTATTGACACCACTTCGCAACGAGGTGCCAGTATTTCTGTCAGCACGTCGCAGGAAGAGCGGAACCGCAATGTCTTGCGTCTCGCTCCCGAAATGAAGGCATGGCTGCCTCCAAAGTCAGTCATGGATAAAAACTTGTCGGCGACGACGAGTGATCGTAATCGAACACGATTGTTCGGTTCATCAAGGATCCATCACCTTGACCCCAGTGCGAAAGACTATCACACTGAACATGATTTCTTCATCCACGCTTTCTTTAGACATCGATGGTACAGTGGGAATCACAAACGTGATGGTCCCTCACTGCTTCAGGCGTGGAACGCCTACATCCATAACCTTGAGGATGTAGGTCGTGACGCCTGGAACGACAAACTTATCAAAGCTCGTGATAAGTTTGAAAAGCGAGCCCCGACAGGTGCACGCTACAAGCTGCATCGTCTGTCAAGGGAGAAAGGATTACCCTGCCTCTCATGGGGAGACTCGTGCCCGTGTTGTGTGAACAACTCTGCACGAGCACCTAAGGAGGCTTACCTCCTTACCAGCCCGTGGTGGCGCGTACGTATCTCTACTGAGATGTACGAAGGGATTGACAACCTGAAATCCCTTTACGACCGTGCCGGGAAGACTTTATCCGGCGGTCCTTCTGCGGCACAGGATGTGCCGCGTCGTACTGTTCAACCAGACCCAGTACGTCTATCATCAGTTGGGAGCGGGGCTCCCAAGTATCCCAGGACGGGGGGGATAACCGCGCCACCGGACGAGATAACTCGTCCGACGTCCGTTCACGTCGCGGTGGTTCAACAGCTGCTCAACTAGATAGCGCTGTCCACCGCGAGAGTCCTACAATGGAGGTGGAGGAGGAGGAAAGACGCTCTCCAAACTATCATGGGGGAGCGTGTGTCTCCGAGAGCCTCTTTGATCGCTTAACTCTTGCGTTACGCGGCGACCTCGAGCATGAGCGGGACAGGCGTCTTCAACTGGCGGACACTGTCTTGAAGCATCGAGCTGAGTTTGCCTTTGCTCAGCTTGAGAACGAGAGAGCTCTGACGTCTCTGCGTGACGAGCTAAGGGTAGCTCGTGTGGATGTTGACCGGTCTCGGGCTGAGATAGCTGCTCTTCAGACCCTTTTTGATATCCACCATCGGGAGCACAAGGCTATCTGTGAGATGCTTGAGCGCAAGGGCGTTCTTCATCGGAAGAAACAGCGTACTGATGGTACGGCTTAAGCCGACCAACGTAAAACGTGGGATGCGTTCGCATCTTACGTGGTAGCTCGATCGTGTATGCGTTGCCTAGGCGGTGCAATACACGAAATGGGCCGATGTACTTGGGTAGAAGTTTACTACTACCCAAGTTAGTCATTACATGCTTTGGTAGATTAACCGTAGACAGTAGGACTAAGTCACCTTTATTAAATAAAAGAGTGTTTGCCCTTCCATTCTTGTCTGCGTTTTTCTTTTGCTTATCCACCGCTTCGGCGATGGAATCTTGCACAAAACGGACTACCGTTTCACGAGCTAGTATGAACTCATCTGATGACTCGTTAGCTTCAGTGCGCTGTGAGTGCACTACAGCAACATCGATCTTTTCTTCGGTGAGGACTTCCTCGCTTTCACTGGCATCATCTTCTTCGATATCGATGTTGTCGATATCGGCATCGAACGCAATGACCTCACCGTCAGAGCGTGATGAGCGTGAACCAAATCGGTTTTTGCTCGCGCGAGTCCCCCCCTTAAACCAGAGTTACACTCGAGTAAGATGGGTATACGCGGATGGCGCAAGCCATTCACGGTGTATGTGTCGTGGACGCATGCACCGAGTTGTTAATGGCAAACTCTACCATTGGCAAGAACTCACCTTAACTCTTAAAGGAGTGTACGTATCCTTAAAGTATCTCTTCGAGGACACGATTGGCTTGCTCCGTCTGACCATCTGACTCTGGATGATCAGATGTCGACGTCTTCAAGCGCGTTCCGAGTGATTTGAACACGGAACGCCAGAGATCAGCAGTGAATCGTGGATCTCTGTCTGGTACGAGTTCACGGGGCAACCCATAAAGTCGGAAGATGGTGTCGATAAAGACTCAAGCACAGCCACTTGCCATGATTGACTCTGGTACAGCCACAAGGTGTACCATTTTGCTGAATCTGTCAACAAATACGAGAATACCCGTATTCCCGCGTGCGTCTTTGGGTAACCCGAAGACAAAATCCATTGAGATGGATTCCCAGCACTCAGCCGGAACCGATAGAGGCTGTAAAGGTGCACGCAGTGAAGGACTTGACTTCACTCGTTGACAGACTTCGCATGCGCGAACACACTTTCGCACAAACTGATACTGGCGGGGCCAGTAAAAGTCCCGACTCACCGTGAGATATGTCTTCTCACGGCCACGATGTCCTCCTATAGGAGAATCGTGACACTCGAACATGATCCGCAAACGCAGATCAGTATCATCTGGGATGACAACACGTGGTGTGTCACCAGAAACGGCTGTATAACACAGTAAACCGTTGCGAGTAGTGTATCGATCTGATGCAGATCGATACGTAGACGATAATCGTTTCAACGATTCTCAAGATGGTTGTGAGAGATGTGTCAACAACTTCACAATCTCACCATCTTGGGCATACGCCCTCCTCACATCATCGTGTAACGTTGAAGATGGTATTGTGGACGTCATAACCGCAGCAGTGGCTGTCTCACTGTTGGGTTTCACGACTGGTTCAAAGTCGGGCCGACGTGAGAGTGCATCAGCGACGACATTAAGTCGTCCTGGTTTGTACTGTACCGTAAAGTTGTACTCTGCAAAGAATGAAAACCACCGCGCCATTCGTTGTGAAAGGTGCGGGCTGTTCACTGCCGTGCGTAATGACGCATGGTCAGTGTAAACAATGAAGGGTCTATCTCCTAAGAGATAGACTCTGAACTTCGCGAGTGCATACTTCATGGCAAAGAGTTCCTTGTCATGCACTGGATAGTTCCGCTCAGCTGGTTGCAGCTGACGCGACTGATAGCAGACGACGCGTTCAACGCCTTCACGATCGTGCTGCATTAATGCACAGCCGATTGCGAAATCGCTGGCATCACAGACCACATGAAATGGCCTGTCCTGATCGGCAATTGCTAGGACTGGGGATTGTAGCAAGCTCTGCTTGATACCATCAAAGGAGCGCTGACATTCAGCGTTCCATAACCACCTCTCGTTCTTTTTCAACAAACGAGAGAGGTGTACAGTCATCTCGGCGTAATTGCGTGAATACTTGTGCAAATACGCCGCTAGACCAAGGAATTTTCGAAGACCTTTGACATCAACTGGCACAGGCCAGTCAGTGATCGCCTTGATCTTTTCGGGATCAGGACGTACACCGTTCTTACCAACGGTGCATCCAAGAAGTGGTATTTCGCTTGCTGCAAATATACACTTCTTGAGATTGGCATACAATTGATGCTTTCGCATGATTGTAAGATCCTGTCGGACGTGGTACCTGTGAACCTCAACATCCGACTTTCCATCCATAGCTCGACTATGGATGAATACGTCATCGAAATAACTTGGCGCGAATTCTCGTACTGGTCTCAACAGATGTGATACACATCTGTTGAACGTGGCAGGGGCATTACTAAGCCCTTGTGGCATTACTAGCCATTCCCAGAGCATGCCGCTAGGCGTGCTAACTGCGGTATAGGGTATATCCCGTTCTCGCATGAGGATTTGATAGAAGCCATCCATCAAATTCATGGACGAAAAGATGGTACTCTTTGACAGACCATCAATGATTACGTCCTTCCTTGGTATCGGAGTCTGAGCCGGTACCGTTGCAGCATTCAACTTGTTAAAATGCATGCACTATCCGCCACCTTCCTGTTGCTTTTCGCACACAGAAGGTCGGAAAGCTATGTGGGGAAGTTGATTCCCTCACATGGTCCGCAGCCAAACGATCGGCAAAGAACTTGTCGATCGCAAGTACTTGTTCACGAGGCAGTGGCCACTGCTTCATGACTCAGTACTTCGATCCTGGCTTAAGCTCGACCTCGTGTCGAGTACTTTTATCCTTCGGTAACTCGCACGGAACAGTTTCAGGGAATACGTCCTTGAATTCAACCAAATCTTCGTAGAGAGGATTTGTCTTGAGCGATTCCCACGATCGGGAGTCATATCGCTCAGTTCGTGTCTTTTCATCTAGGACACTCTCGTCCATCGATGAACTACTGAGAACTCTCTCGTTCTCAGTAAACATTGTTGCTGACCTTATGTCGGCTACACATTCGTCATCAGCGACGAGTACGCAGATCTGCTTGACTTTGCCACTACGCAGATCACGCAAGAACCTTTTATGTTCGAGCGTTGGCAACTGAGTGATCTCCGAAGTCAACTTCGGAGGCGCAATCAGATCAAGTGTATAAGCGCCTACACTTGATCCGTCATTGACAAGGACATTCAATGTCTCTATCATTTCCTGGGGACTTATTCCTCAGGCTTCGAAGGACTTATTCCTTCGGCTTCCCGGGGACTGATTCCCGCGGGTTTCGGGGAACTTATTTCCGCCGTATTTGTAATATCGGGACTTATTCCCTTAGCTTCCTCTAGCTGGGGTTGCGCAACCACAGCGAGATCCTCTACGCAAGATTCTCCGGTCAATCTAGGATTATCGTTTAGCTTAACCTGAGCGATCGATCGTTTCTCTTCTAGATGTTCCCCGCTAGGGATACATCTTTGTCCCGGTCCACTCGACTTATTCGAGTGGTGGACCTTCGGCGCAGCCTGTGTTTCCTCACAGCCGCCGGAATCTTGCTCCGAAGTGTAACCGTTTGTTACACTAAGGTTTCGTACAGTCGTACTAGCGACCGTACCACAAGTGAGGCCATCGCACTCACTCGTAGTACATCCACACGCTTGTGAAAGCTCCAAAACGTTCATCAGATGGCCATCTGATGAACAAGCGGCAGGCATCGTTACTGTCCGATGTTGCCAGCTAACCCGTGGTTCGTACCTTCTGAGCCACGGTATTCCAAGGATGGCATCAAATTTGTCATCCAAATCCAATTCGATAAAGTCATCGTCAATTTGGGTATCTTCTAGCGTATAGTGGATCTTCACTATACGCTTCATGACGGTTACGGATGCGCCTGTCGCAAGACGTACCGTCATCCTCGTAGGAGGTGTGTCACATTCACTGAACTTGAAGTGACCATCTTCTAGCGATTGGCGTCGCACAGAATTGTTGGACGCCCCACAATTGACTAGAGCTCGAAGGGACAACTTATTCGTCACTTCGAGTTTTAAGGTAATGAGTGAGATCTCATTACCTAGTGCAGCAACGCACAACGTTTGTGTGTTGGGAGCAACCTTCGTCAAGAGGCCTGCAAATTCTCTTGACGTTGCTGGACCAGTAGGGTGCTCCGCACCTACTGATCCTGTCCGTTTTTTGACGGTCCATCCCGTTGTTGCGTCTTTACACCAACAGCGGACCCGCGTCCCTGCCCCTTTCTCATGGGTGGACGGTCACTACGCCCAGTGTTGCGAGACACTGGACGAGGGGCACTACGATCGTAAGCGTAGTGTCCTGTCTTCTGACATCTGTTGCATTTCTGCAACTTCTTGTAGTCTGTAGAGCGAGCCTTCTCGCTCTCGACATAACAGAGTTCCATCGGCTCTGGACCTCCACTGTCATATCGTCTCTGTGTACGATATGATGTCGAGCTGGCGCGAGCCTGTCTCAGACTGAAGTCTTCCTGTTTCGCAAATGAAATGGCTTGTTCTAGTGAACCTATTTCAAGTCGTAACAGGTGAGTCTTGACGGGACCATCCGCAAGACCATGCATGAACATCGAAACCAACGTGTGTTCATCAACCGGATTGGAACTTATACAACTCGTGAGATGTCGTATATGTTGTGCGTAAGCGTGCACATCAGGCTTACCTTGTTTGAGCTTCAAGAGTTCAGTTCGAGCTTTGAACTCATCTCTAGGCGGTTCAAACGTTTGTCTGAGCCGCGACTTGAAGACTTCTAACGACCCAAACGCGTATGGGTCGTGCAACTTGAGCCCCAGTGCCCAAGTATTGGCACGTCCTGCCAGATTTGATTGGGCAAATGCAACTTGCATATTCCCGTCGTCGATGCGACGCGCCCTTATGGCGTCATCCAATTCGACGAACCATCTCAAGAGGGAGTCCTCTTCGACTCCCCTATACTTGGAGATGTCAATCTTCAAGGTCTCGGGT